ACCCGGCCGGCCGCAGAGCCCCGGGGACGGCCGTGCAGACAAGGGGCGCCCGGCCCGGCCGGTCGTGGTGATGGGGGTGGGGGAGACCGGAGCTGGGAGGGTCCTGGCCGGCCAACCCTTGTCACCAGAACGCCTTGGAAAAACTTTATTCCTGCCCCACCCCCATCCATTTCGCCTAAGACGATGGCGATCGAGGCTGGAAGATGGGTGGCGCCGAGTTAAGGTGGGTTTAAGGCACTCGGAGTGGGGACTGCGAACGCGGGGTGGGGAGGGGTACAAGGGCGCGCGCCACACAACGCCCCTCTTTACTCTGCACCTGCCGGAGTTGCGCCCTGGATGCAACAGGTCCAGCGCGGGGCGACCCGGCAGCGCCACCCAGCGTCGCGCGCGGAGAGTGCGCGCCTGCCCCGGAGCGTGCGCCCTGGGGCGTGTCCGCCGCGGGCGCGTCCACCTTGGGGCGTGTCCACATCTGGGGGACTCCATCTCCCAGCCCTCGGGTCTCCAGCCCAAGGCCACGGAGCATGGTGTGGCTCTCGGCTGCAGGATGGAAGAAGGATCCGGGTGGAACGTGGCCCGCCCCTGGTTTCTTTCTAAATAAATGCTCCGCGTCCCTCGTTGCTTGGTGGCCAGCTTACCAGGGTGATGATGTGAGCCCCCAAATCTCTTCTCTTTTTATCTCTAAAGATGAAATTAGATTTCTGCCTTGCCGAATCTCCAGCGCTGTTGGGGGAACAGATGAATGTGTGTGTGGGGGGGGGGGGAGATGTAACTCATACAAAGTGTAGTGTGTGTGTGTGTGTGTGTGCTAGAACTCAGGGTCTGAGTGCTGTCCCTTTGCTTTTTTTACTTGAGCCAGAGTCCCACTTCTGACTTTTGGCTGGTTATTCTCAGATAAGAATCACACAGCCGGGCGCTGGGGGCTCAGGCCTGTAATCCTAGCTACTCAGGAGGCTGAGATCTGAGGATCGCAGATCAAAGCCAGCCCGGGCAGGAAAGACCGTGAGACTCCTATCTCCAATAAACCACCAGAAAACCGGAAGTGGCGCTGTAGCTCAAGTGGTAGAGTGCTCATCTTGAGCTGAGGAACTGAGGGACAGCGCCCAGGCCCAGAGTTCAAGCCCCACGGCTGACCAAAAATAAAAAAGAATCACACAGATTTGTTTTCCTTAGCTGGTGCTGAACCTCGATCCTCGGATCTCAGCCTCTTGAGCAGCTAGGTTTATGCATTGTTTTATGGTTTGTGCATCAAAGGACTTCATTTTAAGCCTTACAGAGACTTCGGATCCTGCTTATGACACACGTGGACCACACCTGGAGGTCCCAGCCCTCTGCTTGAGTAGGCCTGGACAGGTGTCTGGATGTGTGGGTCTCATTAGCCAGGATGGGGAGTGAAGGGGGAGGGGGTTAAGGAGGAAGGACCACACAGACAGTGAGAGAAACACAACAAACTCACAAGGTGTGACCATGATACATCCTGGTAGAGATGGATGGTTTGGAGTTCTGTCTCTCCTAGGAAAGAATGACACTTGGAGCTGATGATCAGGGAATGTGGCCTGGACTCCCTCCTGTGATGCTTCTCTCCTGAACAGAATCAGCCACCTCTCTTTCAGCTCCTAGTCCTGGGTGGCAGACTCAGGCACATAATAATGGTCTTCAGACAGTCGTTAGAGGTAGAAATGGGAACCCAGAATGCCAATTAAACCTTACTATTCCAATTGTAATTAAAAAGCGCCAGGATGGCAAGAAACATTCACTGGCTCCTCTATGGACAGCAAGACTCTCCAAGGTGACTGTCTGTTTGTGCCATTCTGGCCGAGGGCACTGTCCTCTACGTCACTAGTAATTATCTACCCCAGTCCATGCTATTTGGGTCCCAGTTTTGGAACCCTGGGCTATCAATCAGGATGTCAGGGCAACCCTCAGGCTAATGAAATAGCTAGTTGGAAATAAGAGGGGTGACAGGATCTTCAGTGTGACCCCAGAGTCCAAGCTACCCTGAACAGACGTCTGACTCTCTCCTCTCCATCCTCCTTATCCGGGGAGCAATAATAGCTTCATGGCAGGAGATCTGGATTTCTAGTCCTTTGCCACCTGTGAGCCTCAGTTTCCCTTATATATACAATGGATTCCCTTCCTAGGGAAGGGAACAGAGGAGATGGGGTAGAATGCAAGAACAGAGTATGCAAGGGTCCACATCACAATGACAATGTCAATACAGTTCCGAGGGATGGGCAGTGTGCTTTAATAAACCTTCTAGAAGCTTCTGATCCAGCTAACGTGAGAACTGCTGAGGTTCACACACACACACACACACACACACACACACACACACACTTCACAGTGCATTAGTCACTTGTGGATGGATACCATTTGCAGCCGGGCCTCACATCCCACATTTTTAGTAAGTGCTACATGGTGCTGTTCTCCGTCCTCTCCCAGGAAGTCCACTGCGCCTCCCTGCTGAATTTGTCTCCATAGCCCCATGTGACCTATGTGACATTTTTTGTTGTCCTGGCTGGTGGTCTGTTTCCCCACCTAGGAGTAAAGTCCAAGATCGTGGGAAGGCTTTGTCTATTTCATTCACAAGTGTGTCCTCAAGACCTAAGCCAGTGCCCAGAATGAAGAAACAGCACTCGGTAATATTATTGAATGCGAATGGATGAGTGAATGAACACATTATAAATGAATGAATGCTGCTGACAGTCTCCCTCCACACGTGGGCAAGCATCCCTCATGGGCGTCAACTTTACATTTTCACACATCCTTCTACATCCGGCCAAGGAAGGGTCACTGGTCCACTCCTCCAGCCTTGGGTGCTGTCCTTCCTCGATCAGGGCACCATGGGAAATCTACACGGATCCTGAGGTCTCCTATAACGACGTTGTCTTCTCAGAGGAAGATGGTGGTTCTAACCCTCTCTCGAGCCACTGGCTTTCAAGCAAGGTTTGCTGAGAGCTGTGTGTGTTTTCAGGAAGAGCCTGCTTCTCTGTGTTGAGGAGGAAGGCCACAGGGTCTAAAGACCCAATGACTCACAGTTTCACTTATTTGCAGATGTTGACAGCAAAATGGCAACAGCCCAAATGTCCATGGACAGATGAAGGTTAAACGAAATTTGGCATGACTGAGTGTGGAACACGTTTCTGCAAAACTATTAATATCCTATAACACGGGTGACCTCACATGCATTGTACTAAGGGAAAGAAACAAGACAAAGAAGACCCCATGTTATGATTCTGTTCATATGAAGCATCAGAAGTAGAAACACTATAGAGCTGGACGGAGGCTGTCAAGTGTCCTGAGCTGAGGTTCAGGACGGGGGACAATGCACAGACACAGAAGATTTGGTGTGGGTGGGTGGGTAATGAAAATGTCCTAGAATTGTGCTATAGTGATGTTTTCATGACTCTGAAGTACTAGGAAATCATTCGATTGTACACTTAAAATGTTATACACATTTTACATCAATAAAGCTGCTTTAAAAAAAAAAGTAAGCTCATGCCTATGCAGGAGGCTGAGATCTGAGGATCTAGATTCAAAGCCAGCCCGGGGAAGGAAAGTCTGGGAGACTCTTGTCTCCAATTAACCACCAGAAAACTAGAAGTGGCGCTGTGGCTCAAGTGGTAGAGTGCTCACCTTGAGCTGAAGAGCTGAGGGACAGCGCTCAGGCCCAGAGTTCAGGCCCCATGAGGGACCAAAACAAACAAACAAATAAATAAGTAGAGGCTGGGAATGTGACTTAGTGGTAAGACTGCCTAGCATGTATGAAGCCCTGGGTTCAATTCCTCAGTACCACATAGAAAAAAAGCCAGAAGGGGGTGCTGTAGCTCAAGTGGTAGAGCACTAGCCTTGAGCAAAAAAATCTCAGGCCCAAAGTTCAAGCTCCAGAAATGGTCAAAAATATAATAATAATAATAAGTAGAGGCCAAAGAGTGGATGGCTCACCTTGTAATCCCAGCTACTCAGGAAGCTGAGATCTGAGGATCAAAGTTCAAAGCCAGCCTGAGTATAAAAGTCTGTGAGACTCTTATGTCCAACTAAGTGTGCGTGTGCACGCGCACGCGTGCCAGAATGGATCTGTGGCTCAAGTCCTAGCGTGCTAGCTTTGAGTAGTAAAGCTCAGGAGCAGTACTCAGGCCCTGAGCTCAAGCCCCAGGACTGGCAAAAAGAAAAATAAGAAGAGGGCCAGCTTAGCAAGTGCAAGACTCTGACTTCAAATCCCAGCATTGCCCTCCCGTGTTCCCCTCCCCGCCCCTCCCACACCCAAAAAGACTTTGCTAAAAGTGCTTTTAGCTCCAGGTGTCAAGGGCCTCTTGTCACATTTTGCTAGAGAATTCTGTTTCCTCTCTTGTTAGAGATCTGATGAAAAGTCGATGAAAATCTGCCATCAGCATCCCAAATAATATCAAGCATGTACTAAATAAATTGGTGTACTAAATTGGTCTGCTTTTAATTTTCCCCTGACGAAAGCAATGAAAGGGTCATAGCATTCCGACCTTTTGAGCCAGCTTTCTGGTCCTGTTCACAGAACCTCTGCTGTCTGACCTTGTCCCTGACCAGTTCCAGGGGCTCCTGCCTGCCACAGCAATGGACACATGCTGTCTTCACACAGCAGCACCAGAAGACTACAGGGGAGAGAGCCAGAGTGAAAGACACTGATTAGCCTGTCTTTTGGGGACCCGCAATTTCCATTTCAATGCAATCAATGCAGGATGAAAGGAAATTCAATTGTGGTAGGCCCTAAAGCTCCGCCTAGATCAGCTGGCAGTGGGAGGATGAAAGGGAATAGAGCACTCTGATTGGCCTAGCCAGAGCCATGGGCCCATGGGTGGAGTTGAGGCAGTGCACCACGATTGACAGTCGGGTTGGAAACATACTGGAGAAGAAAAGGACAGTTCCTATAGGGAAATAAGATGTGAACAGTTACCAGGTGGCTTTAATTATTCCCATGTACAAAAAGAAAACATAAGGAATCCAGATAACCTGTAGTTAAGAGTAGTTTGCATCACAACCAGAAGTATGATAGGTGCTCATGGAAAAAACAAACTCTACTTATGGCTTATAGTTTGATTTCTTCTGGAAGCCATTTCTGTGCACACTTAGGTCTGCTCTCTAGTCAAGGAGATTTGCAAGTGCTAAAGGTCCTAGTCACTGTCTGGCCCACACAAAGGCTTAACACCAAATACCTTCTGCTTCTAACCTTTGTGCTCAGGCAGAACAAGCAACCTCAGATTTGCAGTCCCTATAAAATAAAAATGTAAGCTCCTTCATTCACTATTAAGAATATTCAGCCTTGTGCTGGTGTCTCTCATGCCTGTAATCCTGGCTACTCAGGATGCTAAGATCTGAGGACAGAGGTTCAAAGATAGCCAGCCCTGGCAGGAAAGTCCATGAAACTCATCTCTAAAAAGCCAGAAGTAGAGCTGTGGCTCAAGTGGTAGAACGCTAGCCTAGAGTGAAAAAGCCATGTAAGAGCATGAGGCACTGAGTTCAAGTCCCAGTACTAGCACACACACACACACACACACACACACACACAC